AGATAGATAGATAGATAGATAGATAGATAGATAGATAGATAGATAGATAGATAGATAGACAGACAGACATAGATAGACAGACAGACAGACAGATAGGACAGACAGACAGATAGATGGACAGATGGATGGATAGAAATAGCAGACGTATCTTCACAGTGCTTTACAGCCCTCTCGGATAGACAGACAGACCGAGGGACAGAGATAGATAGATGATAGATTAGATAGATAGATAGATAGATAGATAGATAGATAGATAGATAGATAGATAGATAGATAGATAGATAGGACAGACAGATGGACAGATGGATGGATAGAAATAGCAGACGTATAGCCCTTCACAGTGCTTTACAGCCCTCTCGGATAGACTGACAGACTGAGACAGAGATAGATTAGACAGACAGATAGACAGACAGACATGGATGGATGAATAGAAATAGCAGACATATAGAACTTCACAATGCTTTACAGCCGAGGGGGAGGGGGATAGATGGATGGATGGATGGATAGATGGACAGGCAGACAGACAAGCCTTCCTGAGGTTTTTAAGAAATTGGACAACCATTTTTTGCAGAACGATAAAGGGTCTCCAGCGTGAACAGGGGACTAGAAGCCTCCCAGGTCCCTTCCAACTCAGTTATTCGGTATTCTTTCCAGGGCTTATTTTAGCCATCTCCAATTCATCAGAATCCATTTAAATTAACAATGCATGGGATTACTTGCCTTTTACTTCACGGCTTGTCTCTCATCTTAAAAAAAAATAAATCACAATTCAACAGTATCTTTTAGAGGGGGGTGGGGGGCACCTGGGAGCCAGACCGAAGGTTTCTCGGGTACCATAAATGTGACTTTGTCCTCTAAAAGGCAGGGTTGGATCTGGACGGGAGGCTTACCCTTTATCAGTTTGCCATCGTTGCTAATTTTGATGGCAGCTGGGTCCTTTGCACTATTTCCTTGAGCCGCTGAATCGGCGTCTTCAGGACTCTGCTCAGCAGGAAACTCGGTCTCTCCAGGTGCCGCGGTGGGCGCGTCGGTAGAGACGTCCTCCGACAAAGAGGCGACCTGCTTTTAAAGAGGGGGGAAAAAATCCACTATGTAGCACACGCCCAAAACCGGAAGCTGCAGCAGAATAAATGGATCCTAAATGAATGTACAACTGGACCAATACATGCAACCCTGTACAATACGGTTACTACTCTGGGACTGGATCCATTCATAACTAACAACACCAGCCTCTCAACAACTGCCTAGATCTCATCTCCTGCAACAGTTTAAACAAAATTTACAATTTAACGCAAGTAAAAGGACCTTTTTCCTAACGGTGACCACAGTGTCATGCCCCTGTTAGAATCTGACTCCAAGGGAGAGGAGGAACAGCCAACAGGGAGTGGGAGTGTGTCTCCAGATGTTGTGGAGGAAACTGGGGAAGGGCACAGGCCAGCTGGGCATTCAGAGGAAGACCCAGGCCCATCCCATCTTCATCCTATGGCATGCAGGGAGGAGCGGATAAGGGAGAAACGTGAATGGCGTGGTATAGGGGGAGGAAAGGGCCTTGATCCCCTTCATGGGCTGCAGCTGTGAGGACTGTTTCAATTTATATATGTGCGTGCATCCCTTGGCACCTTCACAGCCCTCTTGTTCGGCTTGTCAAAACAATCCCAGTTTCTCATATGGCCCCTTGGCATAATTAACTGCCCATCCCTCTTCTAGGATGTGGCTACCCTGAATCTCTTCCCCCCATGAACATCGGGACTGCGCAGTATCTTAAACCGGGCTTCGTTCGGGAAAGTTTGGTGTTGCTAAACTCTACTCCTCGGCTCCCAAAGGTGTACAATCCATTAGAACAAAAGGATGGAGCAGTTTGGCGTTAATTTCCAGCAATGTGAATATTGTGGCCCACCATCGGCCAGCAGAGCTGGTGGCAGATTTGGACAGTTAAGAGGTTTGGGAGGAACATGGGTCAGTCCTGAGTCTGGGGAAGGCTCCGACAAGGGCTCTGTGTCTGATGCAGAGATGGGGCCAGGGCTGTCTGACAGTTATGAGCTGCCTTCGGAATCGGAGATCAGTGGGGCAGAAGAACAGCTGGAGCCTGTTCCTGATGCGCGCATGCACAGAGCTGTCAGGAGAAGAGAACAGTTAAGGAACAAGGGTCGATTCGGGAGTAAAGGCACAGGTAGATGGTGAATGGCCCCTCCCACAGGGAATAAAGAGGAGTGAAAGGGGAGTGGGGTTTTGCAGGAGACAATTAGTTCAATTCATTAGGGTGAAGATCTGTTCCTGACTCCTGGCCAAGTATTTTCTGCTCCAGCGTGGCGTTTGGATGCTGTCGTCCTGGCAACTCTCCAAGCCTGATAAAAGGTCTGTGATTGTAAATCACTCTTGAAAGACTGTTTGCCAGGACTTTGTTGGATGTGAATGAGAGGAATTCACATTAGCCTAAATAAAAGAGGCTTTGTCAAGACGAGGAGTCTGCTTCGTGATTTTCGGAAGCCTAGGTCAGAACAGTGAACCAGTTCTTCTAATTGTTGGCAAGGGATCTGTATGAGAACAGAATTCTGGAAATGGCCTTAGTGGGAAACCCTGGGCCAGGGGATGAAGACCGAGGCCAATCATTTTACATTTCAGTTCTCATTCAAATGTAGGTTGACGCTACCATTTCACGATTGTTATACTGATCCAGAAATTAATTTAAGAAGCCCTGTGCTATGAGCTTCATATTAGGACTGTACAAAGCCATTTTAAATGAAGAAATGACTCGAGGTATGCTTGGGGTGGGTGGGGTGGGAGAGAATGAAGCCTTCAAGGAACCATCTTCGGGTCTAGCTTTGCTTATCTGCCGCTGGTAATAGCAGCGATAAAGTTTTAAGAGGGCTCGTGGCAGGAATTTCTATCCCCCTATGCTCAAAAAAAGAAAAAAAACCCCGAATACATTAGCTGGCAGAGCCCGTCTTCAAAAAGAGGAAGGGGATGAATTTATTCATGAAAGATCTGGCTGCATTTTGCTTAATGAGGAAGAAATGTAATTGCAAGAAAAAAAAATTAATGATCGAATGGGAGGCTACCTTAAGTGGACTTACAGTACTGTATCTATTTGCTTAGCGTATCAGTTTTTAGCTAATTTCATGCGTTGCCTTCAAGGATCGTTTGCTGAATAAGTTATAATTGGCCATCTTTAATCTTCAAACTAAAACCAGATCATCGTGATTTCTAAGCCACAGGCAGTCCTCGGCCTAGCACTGGGACCGAAATTTTCCACTGTTAAGTCCCCCCCGATCATAAAACGAGACATCACATGACCAGATACACGATTTTAGAGTCGTTTTTACCACGGCTGTGAAGTGAAATCAGTACTTGTTAATGGCTCGTGCCATTAAACCAATCCAGCTTCCCCAGCTGACTTTTTGTTGGTCGAAAGTGGCTGGGAAGATTGCAAATTGTGAGCATGTGACTTTTAAGACGCTGCAAGCATCCTAAATGCGAGTTGATGGCCAGGTGCCCCGATTGCAATCATCATGTGACCGTTGGGGATGGTGCAACGGTGGTAGCTTTGAGGACCGGCCGACATAATTTCAAACTATCATTAAATGAATGGTTGTAAGTCAAGCATTACCTGCGCAGTTTACAAACCACAGTGAATGTTACCTGCTCTGCCGAGAGCCACAAGCTGCATTGTGGCTTAGGATAATGGGCACGAGCCAGAAAAGAGGGATGTGGAAATATCTACAGACCCCATACATCCTGGACATAACCTCTTCCCTCAAGACGATGCTATAGGGCATTGAACGCCAAAACAACTAGACCCAAGGCGTCGTCCCGCGTCCCCCACAATGGCATCACTCTGCTAAACAACTAATTCCAACAATACTGTTTAACTACCTAGCAGGGCTGTATTACAATTACTCTTCTCACCTTTCCTATTACCTGTTTCCTTACCTTCTTATGCCTGTCACTTTGTTGCTTGTATCTTACGATTTATATTGTTTTATTTAGTATCCTAGTATTATTTTTGTTGATTGCTTATTTAGTATCCTGTAACTCTCACTAAGTGTTTTATCTGATGATTTCTGATGAACGTATTTTTATGATGATTATTGCCATGATTCATCACTTGTTGCTTGTATGTACACTGAGAGCTTATGCACCGGAGACAAATTCCTTGTGTGTCCAACCACACTTGGCCAATAAAGAATTCTCTCCTCTCCTCTCCTCTCCTCTCCTCTCCTCTCCTCTCCTCTCCTGTCTATATTCCATTCCATTCCATCCCTATCCCTATTCTATTTTCTACCCCATCCCATCCTAAAACCAGAAGCTAATTATCAGCATTTATCAGCTCTGTGAACTCAAATGGAATTTTGGTTATTAAACATTACACACCAACTTGTGTTTTTTGGGGGAGGAACACAGGTGTTAAAAAAAAACAACCATGGTCTTTCTATAAACATTATGTGATGTTTGGTGCAAATGTAATGTTTGTGTGTAACAGGGTTCCTTCTTTTGAAAAATGAAAAATAAACAGTTCACATGCCATTTTTTTGTTTTTGTTTCCTGGAAAACACGCAGCATTGTTTGATGCCCCATTAAACCGAATGACAAAACTCTATTTAAAATTGGAAGAGCACTCTGCTTCATTAGTATGTCCCGGCTATTAATTTCAAAAGCACCCTTGTCCCCATTAGGGCAAAAAAAAAGCAAAACAGTTTCCTGGCAACCACACGGTGCATTGACAATCTGTTTCATCAAACGCAAAAAATACACACGATAAACAATTCAGAGAAAAAAACATAAAAGGTAGAAGGCAAGGCAACAGGTCCCGCTTCCTGTAGTGACCTAGCAGGTCTGTGCGACAAAACTCTTGAAATTAAAGGAGAAACACTAACATGGGCTGCGAATGGTATTCAGCGTTTAACTGACATTTGGTAACATTACCTAAGTCGGGCAAATCAAAAGTCTGAATGAATTTAACCCCCACCCCCCACCCAAGGAAGATAAGACAGAGGTGGCCGTGTCACCCATGAATAGAGAAGATGGCTGTACCAAGCACACTGTGTCAATTTAGGGGTACAGATTACTCCTAACCCCAGTTCAAGAGCAGGGACATTAGAATTCAAGTTCAATAACCGGTGCCTGTAATCATTGATAAAACTGACGGATCCTATCTGTTTATATGAGCCTATATATAAAATAGGCCCATTTTTTTTTTTTTTAAAAAAAAGTCTTTTAGGAGTATATACACACAGGCAGAACTGGTTGCCAGCCATTTTCAGGTAAGGAGCACAGGTATACACACACACACACACACACACACAAAGAGAGAGAGAGAGAGAAGGGAGGAGAGAGAGAAGAGGTAGTGAAGGAGAAGGAGAGAGGGAGGGAGAGAGAGGAGAGAGAGAGGAGAGAAGGAGACAGAAAGAGAGGTGGGGAGACAAAAGGGGAGAGAGAGAAGGAGAGAGAGGAGAGACAGAGGGAGGAAAAGAGAGAAGGAGAGAGAGACGGAGAGTGAGGGAGGGGGAAGAGGGAGAGAAGGAGAGTGAGGGAAGGAGAGAGACATTATCTGTGGGGTTACTGGTGCTTTCTGGGCTTGGTTGTCTTCTTGCAGACATTTCATCCATCATTCACCATCATCCTTCTAGCCATTATCTATCCTCTGTGGGATGAAGGACCCTTCCTCATGTTTCCAACCCATACGGTCCTGAGCTTTTTTTTTTTTGGCCAATTTGGCTCGCCATACTTGCCGATATCGTTGATCCACTTGTTTCGTATATTTAGAATATACGAAACGTATTTGATATATTTGAAATGTATGAGGTATTTCAAGGTTATCTTGGTTATCACCAAGGTTTAACACCAGGCCAACCAGCAAGTTGGAAACACAGCCTGCAAAAGGGACCGCCGAGAGAAAACACTTCCTTCAACAATGACAGGGCAAGCCACTTTTGTATATCAACAGAGAGCAAACCCGGTTCTCTTTTAGCACTGATGATGTTACCTAGTTGGGTCACGAAAGATCTGTAAGAAAATAACCAAGCTCAGAGACACCAAAGATCACACAGTCCTCCTCTTCCTCTCCACAAACCCTACTCATCACCCCCTCCCACAATAACAAAGAGGGCAGACAACACATTCTTAAAACACACCCACTGATGGGGAACTGGTTCCTCTTTCAACAGCCCCAGTCATCCATCCTGTGGAGGAGGAAGGGGGGGAAACAAGCAAACAAGCCAGCACGTATCATAGTTACATTATACTTTCACAAGCCTACCTTTGAGCTGTCACTGGCCTCTTTCTGAAGGAAGAACTGTTTCTTAAATTCGTAGTAGGCGTTGTACTGGTGCCAAGGCTGCAGAAATTCGAATCTGTTAAGGAGGAGACAAAAAAGGCACACAGTTTGTGTGACCCAAAACGGGGCTGGAATTTGGGTCGTTAAGCAACTCCTTGTGGTCGTAAGTTATGTCGGACCCAATTTTAGGACCATTTTTAAAAGGAGATCGTTAAAGGGAATCGTCACAGCTGTTCAGTGAATCCAGCTACGCCAATGGGTGGGGTGTTTTAGGTGGCAAATTGTGGCCATGTGATCACAGATCCTACAACCGATCGTAAATGCAAGCTGGGTGCCAATTGACAGGATGCGCAGGGGGACAGGAGTGTTGTAAGTGCAAATACACAGGTTATAAGTTGCTTTTTTCCAAGGATGTTGAATCATTTTAAGTTGAGAACTACTTATTACCGCGTTTCTCCAAAAATAAGACCGGGTCTTATATTAATTTTTGTCCCAAAAGATGCATTAGGGCTTCTTTTCCAGTTAGGTCTTATTTTCAGGGAAATATGGCACTAAATGTGACCTTCTGGCTGACGATATTAACTAGGGCTTATTTTTTTGGGGGGGTAGGGCTTATATTATAAGCATCCTAAAAAACCATGCTAGGGCTTATTTTCCAGTTGGGTTTTATTTCCGGGGAAACTGGGTAATATATCTGGTCCTTGACTTACACAGTTCATTTAGTGATCTTGAAAAAAAAAGACCAGAGTTAACGACCACTGCAGCATCCCCATGGCCACGTGATCAAAATTCAGATGGTTGGCAACTGAACTCATATTTATGACTGTTGTGGTGCCCCGGGGGTCACGTGATTTCTCTTTTGCGACCTTTTGATAAAGCAAAGTCAGCGGGGAAGCCAGATTCACTTAACAACCATGTTACTTACTTAACAACTGCCGTGACTGATATAACCACTGTGGCAAGGAAGGTCGCAAAATGGAGCAAAATTCATTTTAACAAATGTTTAGAATAAATGAGCTGGAAGAGGCTATGGAGGCCTTCTAGCCCAGCCCCCTACGCAAGCAGGAGAACCTATCCCATTTCAGATAAGTGATTGTCCAGACTCTTCTTAAAAACCTCCAGTGATGGAGCACCCACGATTTCTGGAGGCAAGCTGTTCCATTGGTTAATTTCTCCTCATAGTTAGGAAGCTTCTCCTTAATGTCTCGCTTAATGTCAGAAATTATGGGCTCAAATTCGTAAGTCGAGGGTTACCTACATTCCCTCTCTGGGAGGGAGATGGATAATTTTCAAAATGTGGAGCAGAAAAATACAGGTGCACACCACCATCCCTCAACTGTAAGTCGCGGCTATAATTTATTATTTCCCCACCTAAGGAACCAAAAGGCCATTTGATATTCTGAAAATAATAAATTACACCCCAAGGGCCAGAAGTTACAGATATCTGAAAGCCAGGTTTCAAGATTCTTTGGCAATGATGCTTTATCGTTAACTTGCAGGAGTTTCTTGAATTTTAATGTGAGGAACCTCCAATAGGTTACTATGTTTTTTGTTGTTTTCCCCTGAGAAGACAATCAGTAAGAGAACGGGGCAAAGCTACTCGCTTGCGGGTTTATCGTAAAATGAAATCAAGACTGAAGTCTCCCCTACTCACCTCGGATCATTCTTGGCACGAACGCTGGTTTCAAATTTAATCCCATTTCTCGCAACATACTCAGCTAGCTTGTCAATTACAGGTTGGATATCTGGAGGTGGAGGAATGACGGCAACCACTGGAGGAATTGAGCTGGGAAATGTCAAGAGTTGTAAGATTTACACAGGCAGAGAACACAACCTATTAAAATGGGGGGGAAGAAGCTCATTTTTTAAAAAAAGGCATCACCTGACTGAGGACTAAACAGGGAAAAGCCAAGTATTTCAAACAAGGGAAATACAGAACAAAGGTCCAGGCAGGATTTTAAAAGTTTTAAGACATAAGGTTGAGGAGAGCTGAACGATTCATTCTGGCTCACAAAAATGAAATTCTGGAAAATTTGAAGTGGGGTGGCCACCAATGAGACAAAAAAAAAAAAAGGGTTGGCAGGATTTTAAGAAAAGTTTTAGACATCCAACTAAGATGAACAGAGCTGAATGATTCATTCTGGCTGACGAACGTGCAATTCTGGAGAAACTGCAATTATTCTGAAGCAGGACGGCCACCAGTCAAGAGAAAAGAAGTGGTTTGAGAATAATTTTGCATGCGCAGCTTTCTGTCAGACAATAGGTACCTATTGAAATTCTCTACGTATTCTGCAAAGTTAAGACGCTGCTTTAATTGAACGCCATTCTTTTGGAACAGGTTCTTTCATGGGAGAGATACACATCCACACGCTATTATTTTCATTATACGAAATTCCAAAGCGATATTCATTTCAAATATTTATGTTGTGCAATTAAGAAGAAACGTTAGCAGTACGATTAACCATATAAGCTATATTATTCTATTTTCATCTCTTTATTTACTTGAATAGGTAAACTCAAGGCAGCAAACATAGATGAGGCTTAATCCCTCCTCCTCCTATTTTCCTTACGATGATAACCCTGTGAGGGCGGTTGAGCTGAGAGAGAGGGACTGGCTTGGAGTCACTCAGCTGGTTTTCATGGCAAAGGCAGGACTAGAACTCCCAATCTCCTAGTGATGGGTCCAAAATCACCCAATCGGCTTTCATACCTAAAAGACTAGAACTCACAATCTCCTGGTTTCTAGGCCAGCCCCTTAACCACTAGACCAAATCAGCTCTCAAAAATGAAAACGATAATAATAATAATGATGGAGAACCTGTCCTCATATGGGACATTAGTCCTGCTAAGACAGAACTAGAATTCCCAATCTCCTGGTAACTGGCCCAAGTTACCCAGCAGACTTTCACGGTTAAGGCGGGACTAGGACTCACTCTCTCCTGGTGATTGGCTCAAAATTACCCAGTCAGCTTTCACATGCCTAAGGCAGAACTATAACTCACCATCTCCTGGTTTTTAGGGCCAGCACCTTAACCACTAAACCAAATTAGCTTTTAAAAATTAAAAAAATAATAATGATGGGATATTAGAACAAAATTAGTTATTGCTGTCTTGATATGGGATACTAGAACAAAATTAACATCAGCAGGCTTTGAGATAGCCAACAGAATATCCCCCTCCAGAACGCAAACTTGGGAAGACCTGTCTGGAAGTGGGTGTTTCACTAAACAGAAATTAAATAGGCTTCTTGCACATTATAAGCCTGCACAGGGCTGGCAGGGGAGGAAAGTAGATTATTTTTAATGAAAAGATTAATTGCTGACCAAGAAGGCCCTCAAAAAAATGTCAAAAAACCCCACGAGGATATCATCCATGAAACAAAACTAGACAAGGCAAACATATTGGCTCTTCTGCACTCTGTCTAAAGCTCAGGCAATTTTAGGATGTAATGAGACACCCTTTTATTTGGGCTGCCATTTTAATTATTAACATTTAATCACTTTAACGTATGCAACTGTCCACTGCCTGGTAGCTGGGAAGCCTCCCTGCCAAAGGCTGGTCTGAAGAAAAAAAAAACAAAAAAACAGCCCAGCCACTCGGAATCGCTGGGAGGCTGCTGGTGTTATGTCCATACGCAGGACCCAAGTTTATATAAATGCACTGGGGCTTACGAAGGGATTCAGGAGAGGCTACCACAACATCTGAACATGAGAAATAAATATAATAAACCCAGAGTAATACAGAAAAACAGAGTTGGAAGGGACCTTGGAGGTTTTCTAATTGTTTGAAATGAGCAGCTTATCAAATTGGAGAAAGAAAAGAAAAGAAAAGAAAAGAAAAGAAAAGAAAAGAAAAGAAAGAGAGAGAGAGAGAGAGAGAGAGAGAGAGAGAGAGGGAAAGATGGAGGGAGGGAGGGAAAGATGGAGGGAGGGAGGAAGGAAGGGATGAATGGAAGAAGGCATAAAAGAGATATTAAAAGAAGGGATGGAGGGAGGGAGAAAAGGAGAGGGAGGGAGGGAGGGAGGGAGAGAGGGAGGAAGGAAGGAAAACTGATTTCTGATGCTTTTGGGAAAACTCCATTGGAAAAAGAGTCAAGTACAGTATCTCCTGCTATCAAGGTCCATATTATCTCAGCGCCAGTGAATTGCTGAGTCTAACCAACAAGCTAGTCAATAGCTTGCATTTACTTTCAGCAGTGGGTATCCTCTACCACCATTAGGAAAAGTTGTTCTGTTACACAAGCAGCCTGTTTGTTACACGATTCGCTCAACAAAACTCCTCCTCTACACAGGCCAGCATAAAATAAGATACCTCGCTGAAGTGCTTGTGCCAGGTAATGCGCCACTCGTGTCTTCACTGGCTTCCAAAGACGATGGTGGTGGCGTCGTGCCGGGAGGCGGAGGCGCTGTGATGGTGGCTACGCCAGTGGTGCTTGACACCGTCACACCCGCTGGCAAGGCGCTGTAGTAAGTAGCCATGTCAATCCCTGGCGGCGGTGGGGCGAGGCAGTACGTTCCATCGGGCAGCATGTAATAGCTGTAGTACATGGCTGCCATTGTTGCTATAATTTTTTTTAAAAAAGGGACAATCAGTACTTTGACCAGCATGGACAAGAAAAGCCAACTCAAACGGCAGTATGGATCCTTGCACCCAATCCTACAGCTCTGCACGCAGCTGCAACATGCCTACAATATTGCTTTTGGTTCAACTATGAAGCTATCTACAACAGGGGGGTCCTTTGGTGCTTTCTTCAGCTTGGCTGTTCTCTTGCAGATGTTTCATGACCCAACTAGGGAACAACATCAATGCTAGAAGGGAAAGGGGTTTGGACTCTGTTTAAGTGTTGGTGGGAATGTTCTTGGTGATTTCTTGATTAGGTTATTATTTACTGTTCAACTGTCTGAGGTGGATAGTCCTTGACTTATTTCATTTAGTGACCATTCAAAGTTACGACGACATTGAAAAAAAGTGACTTTAGGACCGTTTTTCACAGATAAGAGCTCTGCAGCATCCCCAGGACCATGGGATCGAATTTCAAATGCTTGGCAGCTGTTTCATACTTATGACCGTTGCTGTGTCCCAAGGAATTGTGATCCCCTTTTGCGACCTTCTGACAAGCAAAGTTTTACTTTTACTTTCAACAATTTCTTTCTTTCTTTCTCTCTCATTCTTTCTTTCTTTCTTTTTCCCCTCGACTTCAGTCATTGATACCATTTTACTCCAGACTTCATAGTACTCTGTCTCATCCTTAATTTCTAGAGTCAGTCTGTCCACCACTGTACAGACTACTATTTTCCTTATTATTTCACTTTCGATAGGGATGCAAGCTCCTGAATCTTGATCACACGATCATTGGGCTGCTGCAAAGGTTGTAACTCTGAAAAAGATTGTGAAGTTGCCTTTTTCAGTGCTGTCGTAACTTTGAACAGTCGCTAAGTGAACAGATATAAGCCGAGGGCTACCTGGACACGCAAAAACATCACGGTGTAAATTTGAATGGAAGAGCTAAAATCTATAACGGAAGGTGGAAATTTGGAGCCGTATAGGATGCTGAGAGTCCAGATCAAAGGAGAAATCTACAGGTAGGTGACAGGTGCACATTATGTTCCATTAAATGCTAATAAGGGTAGAATCATACATGAGTTTTGGGGGAAATGGTGCGATGTTATGAATACAAGACAATCCAGGGAGAAAAATGCTCTCTTATGTGACATCAGAGGTTGGGTAGGAATGAGACGAGAGAGAATATAAAGTGGTGATTGGGTTATTATTTGGATCTCAAGAGATTATTATGATTATCTGCTTGGAAAATTGTGTGCTTGTTTTGAAAATGCAGCTCTACTCCAATGTACATCCATCGAAGGATCTGATATAAGCCTGAAAGTACAGCTGATTTTGATCATTTAGGGTGACAGCTTGATATATGGGAGTGAACCATTCTGAATGCTCTACCCATCATTTCTTGATACAGGCAGTCCTTGACTTACAACAGTTCATCTAGTGACTGCTGGAAGTTATGACAGCACTGGAAAAAAAGTGACGTACGACTTTCACATTTACGATCTCTGCAGCATCTCCATGCCCATGGGATCAAAATTCAGAGGCTGGGCAATTGGTTCATACTTATGACCGTCGCTGTGTTCCAACTGTCACAAGATTCCCCCCCCTTCTGATGAGCAAAGTTGATGGGGAAGCCAGGTTCACTTAACAACCGGGTCACTAACTAATCAACTGCGGTGATTCACTTAACAACTGTGGCAAGAACGGTCATAAAATGGGGCAAAAGTCACTTGACAAAGGTCTCACTTAACAACAGAAATGTGGGGCTCAATTGTGATTGTAATTGAGGACTAGCTGAACTGTTAAGAGAGGAACTTGAAAATAAACCAACTGCAAAAGGAGAAAAATACACACCATGTTCCAAAAAACCCCTTACTTGTAACAATGTCCTTGACTTATAACCACAATGGCACTCAAAATTTATGTTGCTAAACGAGACATTTGTCAAGTGAGCTTTGCCCCATTTTACGACCTTTCCGGCTACAGTTGTTAAATGAAGTTGGTTGTAGTTGGTTAAGTGATTCTGGCTTCTCCATTGACTTTGCTTGTCAGAAGGTCGCAAAAGAGGATCATGTGACCCCAGGGACACTCAACCATCGTAAATGTGAGTCAGTTGCCAACTGACTGAATCTGGATCAGGTGACCTTGGGGGTGCTGCAACGGTCTTAAGTCACTTTTTTCCAGTGACATCATAACTTTGAATGGTCACTAAATCAACTATTGTTAAGCCCCTAACCCTAACGCCCGACAGAATGAATGGAATGAATGGACATAAATGCCTACGATGGAAAACATTGCTTGTAAATGCCAAAAAAACCTAACTTACAACAGAATTTTAAAATGTTTTGGGGTTTGTTTGTTTTTTTGCAATAAAATTTTAAAAATGTCAGAAAAACTGCACAAACTCTTCCCCCTCCCCTCAAAAAAAAAAAAAAAAGTGCATCCCCCACTGCAGGAAGTCTTAGGAAACCGTGCAAGTGGAAACTGCCCTGATGGCTGGCGTGAATAGAAATCTCTGCAGTTTGCAAGCGTTTCATTATTTTATCAATGCTATAAACGTGCATTGCAGGAATGCCGATTTAAAACAGCTCAGCAAGTTTACGGAATAATCACCTTGCCTTCGTGCGGTTGTGGGGAGTTTGCATAATTCATGCCTTTCAAAGGCAGGGCGATAAATCGAGAGCCTGTTTGGGCGGAGAGCTTTTTAATGTGTTATTTTTATTAAATGTACAGGTATGAATCCTTCACTTCTGAAACACCAGCTGACCAAGCCACTAATAACAGAGCGGGTTTAATTCTACAGGCAGAATCCTAAGGGTTATTGCAGCCATCTGCTCTTAGTGCAAGTCTTCACGCCAAAATGTATCCCAGGAGACAGCTGCTTTAATTCTTAATTTTAGAGTTCTCTGTCAGCCTTCCTGAATTATTTAGGAAAACAGGATGGAGACGTGTCTGAAAGTGACAGACAACAAGGCCCGGGACTGTAATTAATTATAATATTTCATTAATAAAACAGAGCTGATGCTTCCTGCAATGGCTTAACAACAGAATAATTCTAGCCCGGTGTTTTTAAGCTTAAAGGGAAAAATTCTGGGATAAGGTGCATCTCTTAAGATGCATAGCAGACTTCTAAATAAAAATAGATCTGGTATCTAAAGGAGGGATGGGGGGAGAAAAAGCATCGTAAAAACAAAGCTTGGAATGATAATAAGTCTGTACCTATTAAGAAGAACAAGGTAAAAGCCTTTTACAAGCCCAGCTTATACCTAAATGAGCTTCACAAGGCTCTAAAAACAAGGAACTTTATAGAATTGTGGCAATGCTTTTCTGCAATACAACATTACACTACCACTCTTCTGATATAATGGCAGTGGTAAAAAAAACAAACCCAAACCAAACCAGTCTCTTAATATCAACTGCACGAAAATAAAAGATAGAAGCGCTGCAATTACGAGAAAGTTTCTTGAAAGAAAATGCTGGAAAATTATTTTTTTTGCAACTTGCAAACCTAGAATTATTGTTTGGGGAAGAGATGGGACTATTTTTTTTAAAATGTATGGTAGTTGTCATGTTCCTGGTGGAGACTGACTCTGAGGGACAGGAGGAGCAGCCGACAGGACAGGGAGTGTGGCTCCAGAGGTTGTGGAGGAGGCTGAGGAAGGGCAGAGGCTGGCTGGGCAGTCAGAGGAGGACCCAGGCCCATCCCCTCTCCATCCTAGGGCACGCAGGGAGGAGAGGATAAGGGAGAGATGTGAATGGCATGGTCTATGGGGGAGGAAAGGGCCTTGATCTCTTCATGGGCTGCAGCTGTGACAACTGAATAAGAGGACAGACATGCGTACTGGCGAATGCTGGAAACAAAGCATGGAAATATCTCTAGTTTATGGTTCCTCTCTGAGTTTGCCGTCCTTCCCAGTGTGTGTTCTGTTATCTGTGGACGTCCTCCAGCCCTTATCTTGACTGGTTTGTGTTGTTTTTTTCCCTCCTTCTCGTAACTGCTTGTGTGGGAGATTTTTGTCTTCCGTCAACGATATTTGGAGCTTGGAAGCAAAGTGAAGGAATAAAAGAGGCTTCACCGGGTTTTTGTGACTGTGTTTATTTTGTATTCCCCTCCCCCCCAACACAGTAGTCCTTGACCTCCCAACTATGATTGGGGCCAGAATTTCCATTGCTAAACCAGGCAGTTGTTAAATGAGTCACACCCCATTTTGAGACCTTTGGGGCCATAGTTAAGTGAATCGCTGCAAGTCACTAAGTGGGTCAGGCAGATGTTAAGCAAATCGGGCTTCCCCCATTGACTTTTGCCTGTTGGAAGCCAGCTAGGAGGGTCGAAAATGGTGATCATGTGACCGCCAGATGCTGTGATCATCATATACATACCTGCTGATTGACAAGTGCTGGAAATTTGCTCGCTTGACTGTAGGGATGCTACAACAGTCGTAAATGTGAGGACCGGTCTTAAGTCACTTTATTTTTGGGGAGGATAAATTTACATTCCAACCCGCCCCCAAACAGAGTGGTCCAACCATAGGATAGTCTTACAGGTAGTCCTCAACTTAGAACAGTTCATTTAGTGACTGTTACAATGGCACTGAAAGAAAGGTGACTTATGATAGTTTTTCATGCTTATGACCACTGCAGCATCCCCATGGTCATCTGATCATAATTCAGACACTTGGCAATTGACTCATATTTATGACGGTTGCAGAGTCCCTGGGACCTTCTGACAAGCAAATCAATGGGAAAATCAGACTCACAACCATGTTACTAATTGAAAAACTGCGGTGGTTCACTTAAACAAATGCAGTGTGATGACCCAAAGGGACGTGGCACAAAGGCAAAACAGTCAAATAAGCAAGAAGAGTCTCTTTAATACCTCCAACTTTGCCCCCAATGTCCAGGTTACCTTCGGCTGGAGGAAAAAACTCTCCCAAGAACAGTCTTTAAGTGGAGGAAATTCAGTCCGAAAACAAAGTACATACAAACTGTAAATAGTAATTC